ATCCCATCCCATCCCATCCCATCCCATCCCATCCCATCCCATCCCCTAACCGCTGTCTCTCCCACGGGCCAGGCCCAGGTCACAGCCTATCCCAAGGCCAAACGCGTCCGCATTTCCATTGTGGTAAGCTGCAGCCAATCGCAGCCTGGGCACAACTCCTGCCAGCCAATCAGAGCCTGGCAGGAGTTCTCTGAACCAATCAGGGGCCTGGCAAGATTCTCCTTGGCCAATCACATTGGGCCTGTGTCTGTGCAGTCCATCTSAGATGGTTACGATTCTGTCCAACCRATCCTGGTGTGCATTCTCCCTGTCCCAATCATTCCCAGGAATCGGGACACGGAGCCTCCCAGCCATGACAACCCTGGGATCTGCCCACTTTGCTCAGCCAATCACAGCACACCTTGCATTCTCTCCACCAATCACAAGCTTGGCTTGTCCAACCGTGGCCAATCAGGGTGTGACCGATGTCCTGTTGACCAATCATGTTACTTGACCTGCCTGCACCCTGCCTGCACCCTGCCTGTACCCTGCCCGTGCCCGTGCCCTGCCCGCAGCCGGTGTGCGCACGCACCGCCTGCTGCCCTCCAGGCTGCTCCAACACGTTTCTCTTGCAGGAGGARATGATTCTGGGTGACAAGATGACCCCAGCAGAGGTGAGGGGGTGGGCAGGGACAGGCAGGACCCTCCTGTTTACAGGGATCCCAGACATCCCAAAGGGATGTGCCAAGGAATGAGGTGGGCGTGGGGAGGTAAGGAGTGGAGGACCCAGATTTCTCCAAAAGACCGGGTGTAGGAAGGGTGGGTGGGCCCTTGCTGGCACCTGTGGGGAGGCCATAATGCTCACCGTGCCCAATGGCACGTCCACAGATCCTGGAGTGGGAAGAACAGCAGCTGGACCAGGTGGTGGACTTCAGCAGTGCCAAGATCGACCCCGCGCCCTTCCAGCTGGTGGAGCACACCTCACTGCACAAGGTGCGCCCACACCCCACCCCAGACCCCTGCCCACGCCCTCCAGACCCCCAACTCAACTCCCTCTTCCTGCAGACCCACACCATCTTCTCTCTGCTGGGCCTGGACCACGCATTTGTCACCAGCATTGGGCGACTGGTGGGCATGGTGTCCCTCAAGGAGGTAAGCAGGGGTGGGGAGGCTGGAGGGGCACAGGGGACCACCTGCAGATGTTTACCCATGGTTTTGGGGTGCCCACAGCTGCGCAAGGCCATCGAGGGCTCGCTGACCGGCAAGGGGGTGAAGGTGCGCCCGCCGCTCGCCAGCTTCCGCGACAGCACCGCCAGCACCACCGARGCCGACACCACCGCCCTGCGCCAGCTCTGGGACCGCCACCAGCACCACCACATGCCCCGCGAGGCTGGTCCTGGGGGCGACGATGATGACGACAGCCCCAAGGGCCAGTGAGACCCTTGAGATCCCCCTCCCACGTCCCCAGAAGCCACAGGGGCCCCCTGGCAGGTGCTGGGGGTTGCMCGCCCCGAGCCCACTGACGCCAAGCTCAGCACAGGAGTGGGCACCCTCAATCCAGTGCCACTGCCCCCTCCCTGTGCTGGGGACCAGCTRAATGCCCCCCAGCCATCCCCTGCTCCCCAGCTACCTGCCAGATCTTGGGGCTTCCCACTTCGCTACCTCTGCACCCCCCAGCCCCTGGTGCCCCCCCCAGAATGGCCACTGCCCTCATCCCCTCTGTGGGCACCACAAAGTCCCTGCTCGGGGTGGCACAGGGTGGGGAGAGGGGCATCAGGTTGGGGTGTCCACGGGGACATGGTTGGGCGCTGCCCCCTGTGCTCAGCACCTCATAGCTGGGAACAGTGGGTCCTGCTGCCTGTCTGCCATGCACCCCTCCCCATGTAAATACAGAGATTTTTATATTAATTTAATAAAAGGACTTTATAAACAGAGCCAGAGCACTGAGGGGCTGCAGGTAGAGAGCGGCACAGCCGGTGGACTGCGGGGTGGCTGAGCTGAGCTGAGCTTCACCACAGCCTGGGGTTGGCATCACTTTGGGCAAGGAGCCTTTTGTCACGCGGTGCCACTCACAGCGTGGCCTCGCTGCGGTACAGCGGGGGCTGCCCAGGGCTGGTGCTGCCRCGGCGCCGGGCAGTGATGACCAGCGTGCCGGCCTCAGTGAGGGTGCAGCTCACAGACAGCGGGTCCGTGTCCTCCGGCAGCTGGCACTTGTGGGTGAAGGTGTCACAGACAGTGCCATCATCGGCCACCTGCAGGGAGGCAGCACCGGTGCAACGGAACGCGGCGTGGCAGGGTGGTACTCAACACATTCCCAGTTATCCCAGTGCTTCTAATGGGGCAACTCCCAGTCACCCTGGCTCCAGCAGGGAGCTCAGCAGGGATGATCCCAGAGACTCAGGGACAGTTCCCAGTTACCCCATTGCCTGGGGTAAGTAGGTCCTACCTGCCCAAGTCTTGGCTTGTGGGGTGATTTCCAGCTACCCCAGTGGCAGCAGGGACTGTTCCCAATTGCCACCTCCAGCAGAGAAGGCAATGGAGCAGGAGTTCCCCATTGTCCCACTGTTCGTGAGGACAGTTCCCAGTTACCCCATTGCCTGGGGTAAGTAGGTCCTACCTGCCCAAGTCTTGGCTTGTGGGGTGATTTCCAGCTACCCCAGTGGCAGCAGGGACTGTTCCCAATTGCCACCTCCAGCAGAGAAGGCAATGCAGCAGGAGTTCCCCGTTGCCCCACTCTCTCCCCATTGCCCCACTCTCCATGAGGACAGTTCCCARTTACCCCAGTACAGGAGAGGTGCAGTAGAGCAGGGCCTACGTGTTGTCCCATCACTAGAGCACAGATCCCAGTACCCCAGGGCCAGCAAGGGCTACTCCCAGTGACCACCCTGCCCCCACCACCCGCAGGAGGGATTGTCATGGGCAAGACCCTCGCTCTGCCACGACCAGGGGGGATGCTGCCCCTCGGGTGCCTCACCTTTTCTGCCTGGATGGCGACGTGGCAGTTGGAMGTGGTCACCACAATGTCAGGGGGCTCGAACTGGCTGACGTCGGCCACCACTTGGTAGGTGTCACCCTGGGCACGCACCCAGGTGCCCAGGCTGCAGGGGTACATGGCGCCTGGGGACTCTGTGGGCATTGGAGGGCAGCTGGGCATGGGCACACGGTGCCATGGGGCTGGGGTGCAGGGGAGTGTAGGGGAGTCTGGTGGCAATAGGGGAGGGAGGGCTGGGGGCAGCGGTGACAGTGGGAGTTTGGGGATGTTGAAGGTGCTGGGGGATTGCGGGGGGACCTGGGAGCCCCAGGGTATGGGGGTACTGGGTGACCTGGAGGGGTGCTGGGTCATCTGAGGGCTCTGGGAGATTCTGGGGGCAGTGGAAAACCTGAGGACAGCAGGAGAAGAGCACAGGAGACCAAAGACACTGGGGATGACCAGGAAACTCTGGGGCAAGTGGGATGGGRCAGGAGAGCACTGGAGTTACTGGGGGTGTACAAGAAAGGGAGGCCTAGCCGGTGACATCAAAGGGCACAGGGGCACAGGGGAGCTGAGGATGTAAGGGCAGCTGSGATGGTCTGGGTCAGGGGGGAAAAGCTACGGAGGATTCTGGGGATAAAAGGAGGATCTAAAGGGTCTGGAGAGGAGGGAGCAGGCAGCACAGAGGTCCTGGGGACAGCAGGGACGCTGGATTTACTGGGGACTTACAAGGTGAYCACAAAAGCCCTTGGTGAGTAAGAGCTGGAGGACAGTCCAGAGAGCCATGGGGTACTTGGGGAGCAGCCAGGGATCCCCTCCAAGCGCTCCCAACCTGTGCYGGGGGGAGTATCCCCCACTGTCCCCAGACACCGATCATCTGGCTAGCCCTCAGGTGAGCCATCCCCAGGGTAGCAGGGTCCCCCCACCCTCCGTGCCCTGTACCTGGGTACCCAAACGCCTCATGTGCCCGCGCCCCAAAGGGTCCGTGCCGCCGGTCMCCCTCGAAGCGGGGCTCGCCGTGCCCCTGCCCGTAGGTGCTGAGGAGCTCGGCACGGTACGTGGTGGCCGAGCTGAGCGATGCCATGGCGCCTGCTGCCCGCGCCCCCCAAGGCCCTGCCGTGGGGAGGGTCCAGCCGCCCGCCAGCCACCACCGCCAGATGCCCATAATTAGGCACCCCGTCCGTAGGAATGCGAGATAAGGGACGAGGCCTCCGTCACCCTGTGGGGCCGCAGAGGGGGATGCATCCCTGCCACCGCTGGCCTGCCACCCCCCGGCCTCCCGGGGAGGAGGTGGCCCCGCCACCCGCAAGAAGAGGCGCCCGGTGCAGCGCTCACACGATTGACTTTATTCAAGACCTGGCAGGATGGAGGAGGGGGTGCCATAGCGTGGGCACCCCACAGATACTCCGCAGGTACCGCCGCAGCGGGGCGGGGGGCTCAGGCAGCTCCCACAGCTATGCACACGCGTGCACATGCCCATGCGCTCCCAGGTGTGCACATGCACACACACACAGAGCAAAGCCCCCACCCATCCGCAGGCACCCCCAGCCCGTCCCCGTGCCGTGGGGAGCATCCCCGGGGATGGTGGCAGGTGGCAGGGAGCCATCGGTGTGGTGTCGGCCCCGCTGGCTCCTGCAGCCCCTCACAGCTYGGGGCCAGCCCCACAGTGGACACCCCATGGCAGGGACGGGGAACGGGAGCTGTGCCCGGCAGGGGTTGATGGGGGTGCTGGGGGGTGCAGGGGAGCAGTGGGTGCTGGGGGGCACCTCGGGGTGCAGGGCCAAGGGACAGTGGCAGGGCTGGGCGAGGAGCAGCATGCAGGGGGAGAGTGGCCCCACGAAAACACRTGCCATGCGGGAAGGGGCGCACAAGCGTTGGCAAAAACTGGCATTCCTCCCCCAAACGACGTGCCTGGAACCCCTCACACGGGCTTGGGGGGTTCCCGATGGGGGGGTGCCACCCCCAGCCAGGACAGGGGGGGCAGGTCGCCCTTCGTGTAGGCACTTGGTTCCCTGCGAGGAGTGARTGGCTGTTGACGGAGACATCGGTCCCGCTTCCAACCTCCTCTCTCTACCCTGCATTGCCTCACAGCAGATTGGGGTCCCTGGCTGGGCTGAGCCCCGTGCTGCAGGGCTGGTGGGGTGGTGCTGTCCTGGTGGCCCAAAGTCCCCAGCCTGAGGGCCCAAACCCACCCGGCCCTGCAGTTCTTTCAGTGCCAGCCCCATGCACGTATGAAAGGATAGAAAATCCCAGCACCGCGCACACCCACAGCCCCCCGGCACCCCCACAGCACCCTCCAGCAGCTCCATGCTCCAAGGCAGCAGTTCACAGTTTTAAACTCGGTCCAATAAAAGTTGGCCAGGGAGAGAGGAGAAGAGCCCTTCCCACAGCAAAACCCCCACCACCACGCTGGCTCGGGGTGGTAGAGGCACCACAGGATGCTTGGAGAGTTTCAGCCATGCCATTGTGGGGGAGGGAACTGTGCCCAAAAGGGGAGCCCAGGGTGGCTTGGGGGAGAACATGCGAACGACCAGCCCCACTTATTTAGTCTTGTCAGTTTYTGGGGGCACATCTGGGCATCAGGGAAGGGGACGGACCCCCCCATGCCCTTCCCTGTGCCCCTTCCCTGCTCTCATGCAAAAATCCAGGAGGGCAACGATGTGGCCAAGCAGGGCTGGGGCACGGTGGGGGCGCACTGGCTGGGGGGGCTGCAGCGGCCCCCTGAACCCCTCCTGCGCCCCGATAGCGAGGGGGAGCAGMGGCAGGGCCTGTCCCTCACCCAGCGCGGGGTCTGGCCAGAGGGCTTCGGCAGGGGAGCTGGACCCCCACCAGGAGAGGCAGGGCACCCCAGGAGGCATCAGGGCTCTTCGGCCTCCTCCTCCTCCTCCAGCGATGCCACCCCGGAGGAGGCGACGTCAGAGATTTTCCGGCGGAGCGGGAAGTCCTTGCTCAGCACCACCTCGTCCTCCGTGGGCGAGAGACAGGCTTCGGCGTAGGACACGGAGTAGAGGGAGTCCTGGCACCGGAGCCGTGCCAGGCCCCGCAAGGCACTTTGGCTGGCTGGGGGCGGAAGCTTGGGCAGCAGCAGGTCCTCGCCCCCCAGGGAGCCCAGCAGTTTGGCAGTGAGTTCGGAGGGGGACACCATCTCCAGGCTGCAGAGGCTGGAGCAGAGAGTCTCAGGGGAGAGGGTGTGCGAGGAGTCGCTCTCAGGCTCGCAGGAGCCGTGCCGCACGCCCAGCTGGCACAGGTGGCCCTGCAGCAGGTCTCGCAGCAGCGCGCTGGCGGGCAGCGTGCCAGTCAGCTCTGTGGGAAACCAGGATGCCTGGGGTCAGTCCAGRGATGAAGGCACCAGGGGTGTCAGCTGCCCCCTGCCCTGTGCCCCGCAGGTTGGGAGCAGCCCCGTGCCTGCCTGCGTGCACGGCCCTGGTGACCTCCAAACGAAAAGCAAAACACTTTCTGGCACCAGGGAGGTATTGCATTTAAGGCCTTCTGCATCCCTGGCTCAGGCACTGTTTGCCACGGTGCCAGGCAGGGSCAGTGCGCTGTATGGGGGTGGCCAGGCTGGGCAGTGGCAGCAGTGGCACCCCGTTCATTTCACCCACACCAGCCATGGCACAACTCGCCCACTCCCCACGGCGCTTACCAGTGGGCTGGGAGCTCTCTGTGGAGGGCACGAAGTCCTCGTCGTAGGACTCGTCGTTGGAGTCGTCCCCATCCACTGAGGACCAGGCTCGCAGCTTGGCCTCAGCGATGGCAAACTGTTCTGCCACTCCTGGCACGGGACAGGCACGGGTCAAACACACGCACAGAGGAGCCCCCAACATCCCAGCACCCTGGCACCTCTGTGCCCATAGTGCCATGGGATGGATGGATGGATGGATGGATGGATGGATGGATGGATGGATGGATGGATGGATGGATGGATGGATGGATGGATGGATGGATGGATGGAGATAACCCATCCCAACGCCCCTGCCCTGGGCCACAGTGGGGACCATGCCCAGTGGCCATGCCCGTGGTGCCCACCAGCAGCGAATCGCGCCTCCTGCTCGCCCTCGCTCAGGTGGCAGTAGGAGTTGAAGGCGCTCTCCAGGGCGGAAGGTGACTCCACAGGCTTACACCAGCCCTTCCACTCRATGAGGTGGGCGACACGGCCCTGTGCCATGGCCGTCGGCTTTGTCACGTGCTCCTTCACCACCTGTGAGATACCTATAGGAGGTACCCCCATGTCAGCATGCCCTAAGGCAGCCCAAGCTCTCTCCATAGAGCCCATGACCCTGGGACCCAGCACACCCTGCCTCCAGCCCACGGGACCTGGCACCTACATGCCCCCCTCTTGGGTGCCACCAGGGACCCCTTGAGCRCCCCAAACTCCAGACGGTGACTCCCAGGCCTTTCCCAAGAGGCTCAGACCCCTCACCTCAGGAGAACTCCCTTTCCCAGATGAGCCCCTGGGTGAGCARTTACCGTGCAGCGAGGAGCGGGCCAGGGCAGCAATCTCCTGGATGGTCAGCGCGCGCCGTGACTTGGGCAGCATCTCGACAGTGTCCTCAACATTGACCTGCCAGAGKGAGCAGGGTGGTCACAGCCCCGACACCACTCCCCTTTTGAGGGCCCCACACACCAGGAGGGGGCTTGGCCACTCGGTGGAGCCCSGGGTGTTGGTGCACACRCACATTACAGGCACAGGTGTGTGCRGAGGGATGGTCACAGCAAGGCACCCGTGCCCCTGTGCACGCTGCCACGATTCCAGCACAGTCGTACGCTGACACTGCCAACACACCTACACACGCCTGCTGGGGTTCCACACGTGCATGCACACATACAYACACAGAGGCACTCAAATACACCAGCTGACCATAAACACACACCTGCACACTCACACCTGAACTCACTGCACGCACACACACCTGTGTGCGCTCACACGTGTGCGTGCCCCGTGCTGCTTGGTGCCACTATGCCCTCCCCAGCTTGTGCACACACATGTGCACATGTGAAACCGCCACAGCCCGGCTCCCCAGCTCCCGCTCCCTGGCAGCACACGCCATGCCAGGACATCCTGCTCYATGTCCCAGTTGCTATCCCGGCCATGCCAGGCCCTGAGCCCATGGCCACGGGGGAAGCGATGTGGGATTTGGAGGCGCGCAACAAATTGCATTGCCATGGCAACGAGGCACCGTGGACTGATTTCTCCCAGGATACAGCCCGGCTCATGGCTGACGTCAGAGCAGCCCCGAGCCACTGCGAGCTGGCAGGGCCATGGCCAGGACGGGTGCCCCGCCATCGGGCACCGGCACACGGATCCGTCTGTTGGGCACGACCGGGCTCAGCGGTACCTGGAGGAAGTCCTGGCTGTCGAAGGAGGCCTGGCGCACCAGCCGGGGCAGCGGGCGGGCGGCACTCAGGGGTGACAGTGCYTTCACCTCCTTCCACTCCACACACAGCGTCGTGTCCACGGCCACTGCAGGAAGAGCCRAGGCCAACCTCAGCGCCTCCGTTTGCCCCGCGGCCCTCTCGGTCCCCCATCCACTGACCCTGTGGCAGCAGCTTCTTGTCCAGTCTGAGACCAGACACAACTCGTTGCTGCAGCACCGGTGACTCACGCCCGGGCAACTCTTCYGCCTGTGTCAGCGGTAACGCACGGCCCCAGCCTGGCACTGGGGACCAGGCGCCCGTCCCAGCTTGGCAGCTGCTCTGGGAGGGATGGGGGCAGCTGGACCAGGCTGGACCGGGCCGGGTGCTCGGTGTGTGTGGAAGAAGGCAGCCCTGGGTTATGCTTGCGGGGGAGCTGCTGCTCCTCCGCTATCTCCAAAATCCCCCTCTCTAATTCCCCACTTCTGGGTCAGGAAGGAAAGGAGCAAGAAGGGATAGCATCAGTAAAAGAAGCTGCACCTATCCTTGGCCGCAATAGCTTGACCTCCTGGCACTGGCATCCCGAGCAGATGGGTGCCCCCACCCTCGGGCACTGACTCCCAAGCTGGGGAGTCTCCTGTCCATGCAGTTCCCATAAAAAGCTATTGTCAAAGGGGCCAAGGTGGGGTATCCCTCAAGAGCCTCGTTCCCCCTGCACCGAGGTGGGCCTGG